ATTTCACCCACCCCAAAGCCAAACACGCATTCTTTTTTTCTCCTGCTCTCCTCCTGCCCCCAGAGTTCACTCTGAGTGCAGGGGTCTGTGGGTCTCCAGTCACACCAGTGACACATGTGCCACCTTGTCCTACCAGCCCCAGCATCTCAGATAGAGAATACCATGTCTTTTTGCAGGGAATTGGGGAAGCCCAGAGGCAATGAACATGAACCACCCCTTCTTCCCTCTGAAATCTATTGCTGCTTTGGCTGTCAGCTTTGTCCCCTCTAGGGGCCCTACTGTGCCCCGGGCCATTGCTGGCTGGGCTGAAGATCATGGTTTCCTCCTGTCTTTGCTGTGACTTGAGCAGAGGAATTCTGGATGTTGGGCAAATGGCTTTTCATGACAGCCAGTGTTGACACTATCCACAGATGTTAGGTTGGTCACGGCTTCATGTGGCACCTGTTACTCATTGCTGTAAGTGGTGGAGTCCAGTGTAAGGTTGGGATGCCACTAGCTGACCTTGCCACCCCCAAGTGCCAGGGTGGGGCTGCAGACATGGGGATAGCAGCACTTCACTACCCGTCCACTCCTCACCTGGCCTTTGGGGCAGGAGAAGGTTTCACCAGTCAGTCCCTGCTATGTCCTGGTGGGAACATTCTGCTTGGGGCAAACGATAAGAAGGGACCTTGTCTTGCCACAGACATTTCCTATCTGCTGTAGAAGCAAAAAGGAGTTGCCATATGGCTTTGGCCTTTGTTTCAGTTTCCACCAAGTTCAGAAAGCAATAAGTAAAGAGGACACTCTCATGATGTGATTTGTATTATTTATGACTATCTGTCTTTAGATGAGCAAATAGATAGGGCAACCCTTGGTAACAGATGACTTAAACCTTGTCACTCCTGATACAATCACCGAATGTTGTGAAGTTTGAATCTCGACGTAACTGGCTTCGGGAAATGAAAACCACTCATCTGAGACAAGCCCTCCAAGGCAGTTTTGCTTCCTTAGTTACTAACTGGAAGCAGAAGGAATGAGCTCAGAGTGAAGAGCTGGCCAAAGATCTTCCTGGCTTGCCCTGTCCTCCAAAGAGACTATATGTGCCTCGGGAACGATTTGCCATGCATGAGATCATCTTGCGTTGCTCCCAGAAATCAAACAAACCAACAAAGAGAGCAAAGGATTGTTGTCATTCAGTTTGCTGATGCTGCTGTCTGCAGGGCCACAAAGGCTGCCTCCAGGTGCCCCAGGGCATTCATAGTAAGTCAGGCCTTTGGATGAATTTCTGGATGTGTTTCACAGTTCACAGCTAATTCAAGCAGAAGCCTCTGGAGACTGCAGCTGTCTGCTATGAGAACACCTACAGCTGATTCTAAATGCTCCCAGAATCACAGAATAGCTGAGGTTTCAGTCCACCTCTCTGCTCACTTAGCAAGCCCATACTTCATAAGCTTCTCTGTGAGGACATTCTGGAAGACAGTGCTGAAAGCCTGGCTAAAGTCAAGATAAAAGCCATCTACTGCTCTCTGCTCATCCACCAAGCCACTCATCTCATCATAGGTGGTTGGCTAAATGCAATTTCCCCTTCATAAGTCTATGCTGACTGCACCCAGTCACGTTTCGTCTTTCATGTGTTTGGAAACAGTTTGCAGCAGGATTTTCTCCATCACTTTTGCAGATTCTGAGGTGGGGATGGCCAGCCTGTAGTTCCCCAGATCTTCCTTCTTGTTCTGCTTGAACACAGGTGTGACACCGCATTTTTCCAGTCTTCAGGAAACTCTCCCTATTACCATGACCTTTCAAAGATTATCAAGATGTCCCCACTGTGACACCTTCCTGATCACTCAGGGGTGCATCCCACCAGGGCTACTGCTCTCTAACTTGGTTCTTCTACATCGATGGTGAGTCCTCCTTGCTCCAAGAGAGTGATGTTGGTGAAGTTTATCTTGTGAAAAAAACAACCCATAGTGCTTGGGGACCACAGCAGCTCAGGGAGAAAGAGGCACTGTATTGAGACTGGGCCAGTCTGCTTAGCTTGCACAGAAGCCAGGTCTAAACTGCTCAGGGTGTTCAGGTGTGCAATGTTAATATCTTACTCGTGCTTTGCTTTGATTGCTGGTTGCATCTATTTTTACTCTGACACCAGCAGATTTCCTTTGGTTTTACTTCTTAAATAAACTGCTCCACCTTTCCATCCCCCTCTGCCTCCTCTAAGTCCTCTCACCAATCACTATTCTGCCATGTAAAGCCAGTTCCTGGCACAGACAAGCCATATCCTCTCTGAGATCCACCACAGGGACCATTTCTACATTTTGTTTGCAATAAAGTAAAACACATTAGATGGTCCAATTCTAACTCCTTGACCTTAGTTACTTAACAAGACAAGAATTACTACATTGAGGGAAGCTAGCAGAATTTCCAGGAGATCCTAGACATACAGATTAGTAAATTTTCCAAAGGCCACAAGGAAAGAAAAGCTTTATACAGTTACTGAGAATGTATCCCCTAAAGCTTCCTCAGCTGGAGTCCTTTCTAGCACCAACAGTCTGACACACTTGCTTCATTTAAAAATATAGGAAATGCACTTAGGACCACAGAAAACAGTCCATAACCTTGCAGTTTATAGCCTCAGTATGCCAAAGGGCAGGGGCTTTGCACAAGGGGTTGAAAATGAAAACATTTGGCTGTGCTCAGGCTGACCTGCTCACATGCAAAGTTAGAAGCCCCAGGGAAAGGAAGGCCAGAAGAAATAGAGCAGGGTGTGTGCACAGGGCTGGAGAGATGTGGGTCAAATCTCTGTTCTCCCTTCTCATCTCCCCATTGGTGTGGCTGATACAGAAGAATTTCCTTTCTCACAGTGATATTCTGTGGATAAATACACTAAAAAAAGAGGTGTCCAGCTGTTGCCTTGCATTATTAAGATTGGTCTTTCTGATTACATGTCTAGATTTAATCTTTAAATACTGCAGAAGCCAACATCCCCTCCATCCCCCGAAACTGTGTTTCTGTAAGATGCAGTCTGACTAATGTATCATTCTGAGCAAAGTTGCATGCAGTTCTCTGGTGGCCTTACAAGAGCCCTTATATATAAAATTATTCACTTTGGAGCAAGTGCAGGGATTACTCCCAAAGAATTACCCCTTGAATAGTGAGGCCAGTGCTTTCAGAGCTAAGACCTTGGGAAAGCAGTGAAGGTAGACCATCCATGCCACGTAGGCATGTCTGTGTGAGCTTTGGCACGAGCTTCAGCTATCTGAAACACTGCTAAACCAGAACAAAACATTTTGCCTGTGTAATCATCCACGTCCTGATCTCCTTGCATCTCTGCTGCCTTCCTGTTATGTTACTGCAGTTGTGCCTTGCAGAAAACCATTTTCTGTGGCAGAGAGTAAGGTTAGAGTTACCTATGGGTGGATCCTCACATATCAATTGGTGTCGAAGCTACTGTGAATAACCTCCATGTTCAGTGTATTTTCTTAAAATTGCAGATAGTGCATCTCGTGTCATCATTCACCTCCGATTCTTATTACTGCCCAGTTGGGCACAATACATTACATCTGGTCTAAAGAGGCTTCAAGCAGCGAGACAGACATATTTCTTCTAAGATATCCCAAATACGTTGCAAAAAGTAATATTTGCAAAGGTCAGAGCTGGGGTTGGTATCTTCATATTTTGAGCCAAACAGATAGAAATTTGGCACTACATTGACCCACCGTGCTGATTGTACCAAAAGTGGAGGGAGCTGCTGCCAGCACAGAAATTGCTGCAAGAACATGGGAAGGTCAAACTGACCCTGGCAGCTTGTAAATCTGGAAAGCCTTTCTGCATTCAACCTTAAATAAAAAACTTTCCCTCCTTTTAAAAAATTAATAACACCCATCCTCCTTGAGCCTGAAACATTTTCCTCTTGGAAACATACTGGGTAGAATAAATGCTGCATGAACAGAGGCTGGTGCCCCCTCTACCCCCAAACTGCAGGACAGTCCTGGGTGCACGAGCTGCAAGAAGGCACAGCCCTGCTACGGCAGGTAGCTTCTGAGTGGAGCTGTGCTCACAGGAATAGGGTTTGTTTTGGAAACCTTTTGGTTCAGACTTAAAATCTAACCAACAGAAGCTTCCTCCTCCTCAGGCAGGAAGACAGATTTAGTAGTCATTGTCTTTTAGGGAGGTTTCGTAGTAACAGTCCTTTAGGAAGCCTGTGACACTCAGTAACTGGCTGTTACCCACCTTCAAAGATCTGAAGAAATGGCTGATGTGCAGAAAGAAAATCAGAACAGGTGGGATTGGTTCAGTGAAGCTGTGGAACAGGTTATGGGATCAGCGACCAAATCCCTTTGTTGGCAGTTTTTAAAAACAGAGGAAGGGGTTAGTGGGTGTAAAGGCAACTGTTCCTGTTGGTGCAGGAACAATATCTGAGGAGCTCCCACCCACCCCTCTGTGTGGCACCACTGCTGAAAGGCAAGGCTGACAGTGGTGCAGCAGAGAGGTAGCGAACTCAGAGGAGAAGTGAGATGAGACAGAGCAGGATGGCAGCAGGCAGGGTCCATGCCCTGCCTGGTTCCTCACTGATGTACACAGTTTAGAGTTGCAAGGGAACCTCAGCTATGGCACATGCAGGCCCGGAGGACCTGTCTGTCCCTCATGCCGCAGCTCCATTCCTGAAACACACACACTTACAGCTCCTACTGATCTTCCTTTTTCAGTCTTAGAGGTGCACGTTATTATTACCTTTGATCAAAGCTTCCTTCTCTGAATTACTGATCTGAAGAATCATCACAAAACAGACTGAACAAAAGTTTGGGGAACTGACTTCCATATACAACAGCAGACTGTCATTTTGTGACCTACATTTAGACTTTTTTCCACATAAACCAAATCATTACACATCCCATTTAAAAATTGTAAGAAACATTTTTAAACACTCTATAAACTTAAGTTGTTCTTGTCTCGTAAACATCTCTGAACTCCACCCTTTTGCAACGAGAGTGGTTTCCCAGTAACCTACATATTCTAAAGTCTCTTCAAAAAAGATGGCATCTAAAAAGACAAAAAACAAGAAGAAAAAAAAAAAGACAAATTATAAGACTAAACTTGTTTGATGGACACAAGATATACCACAGTCTGAAGGACTATTACATTTTTATTGCCACTTGTTTTGTAATACTGTCCTCCCAGACTCATCCCAATAAAAGGTTTATTTTGCCTCGGACCATGAGGCCTGGCTTGCTTCTCAGGCAGGGCAGGACATGGTTAGGACCATCAGCTGAGCAGTCTGTGGGGCCATGGCTCTCTCTCTGCCTTCATGATGGTTAAAGGAACCAGGCATGAGACATGGCTCCCCACATGACAGCCCTGAGCTCTCCCTGGAGGGGTGACAGCCGGAATATGTGTCAGTGCCTCCCTCTGCAGAGTGAGGGCCCCTGAAACCCAGTCCTAGAGAGCAGCAGAGGCTCATCATGCAGGAAGGTCATGCAAATGTGTATTGTGGGAAAAGACAAAGGAATATTTGCCGAAGGTCTCTGAGCTGGGCACTAAATTCAGGCATGAAAATTAATATTTTGCACCTTACTTCTTAAAATAAATGTTGGGAACCGAGAGCTCCTTCAGAAATACAGCTTATGGTAGTGGTCAGCAAAGGTGGTGGTGTATGGGAAGGATGCTGAAGGATTCGTTACAGTCTGTAGTGAAAGAAATTAGTGTGTCTGGAAAAATCAGCAAGGCACTTTGAATATATACATGTATGAAACTGGGTTGAGCCCTACAGAGAAGGTCTTAGGGATAATGGTGGATGGAAAATTGGATGGGACCTGGCTGTGTGCACCTTCAGCCCAGAAAGTCCATTGAATCCTGGGCTGCATCAAAAGAAGAAGGACCAGCAGGCTGAGAGAGGTCGTGCAGCCCCTCTACTCTGCTCTGGCGAGACCCCACCTGCAAAACCAGGTCCAGGTCTGAGATCCCCAACACAAGAGAGTCATGGAACTGTTGGGCTGAGTCCAGAGGAAGGCCATGAAGATGATCAGAGGGCTGGAGCACCCCTTCTGTAAAAAAGGCTGAGATACTTGGGATTGTTCATCCTGGAGAAGAGAAGGCTCCAGGGAGACCTTATTGCAGCCTTTCGATATCTGAAGAATATAAAAATATAAGGAAGACAGAGAAAGACTTTTTACCAGTGCCTGTAGTGACGGAACAAGGGATGATGGTTTGAAACTGGAAGAGGGTAAGTTTAAATTGGATTTAAGGAGGACATTTTTTTACCAGGGTGGTGAGACACCAGAACAGATTGCCCAGAGAAGCTGTGGGTGCCCCATTCCTGGAGCTGCTCAAGGTTAAGGTTGGATGAGACCTTCAGCAACCTGATGTAGAGAAGGATGTCTCTGCCCACGGCAGGTGTGTTGGACTAGGTGATTTTTGAAGGTCCCCTCCGACCCAAGGAGTTCTGTGCTGATTCTGTGTGATACATTGGCAGGGCTGATACAGTGGGGGGCCTCAGATCACTTCCCGGAGAGGCTGGAGGAGCGCAGGGGGTCCCATTGCAGGGGGTCCCCATTGCAGGGGGTCCCCATTGCAGAAGGTCCCCAAGACTGTGGTCCCTGGGGTCACCCATCCGTGCCTCCCGCAGGCCCACGGGCTGGGAGAAACCTGCCTATCAAAGGGGATGGAAGCGCTTCTCAGGCAGAGTAGCAGTGAGATAGTCTGTAAGAAGAGCCGATACCCTTTATTGGACCAATGAAATACTGGGGGAAACGTAACAGTTAAAACAAAGAACACAGAGGAGTCCTCATGTACGAAACCCCCCCGGGGCCTGCGTGAGGAGCCGAGGCGGGAACTGGTGGTGGGACTTTCACAGCGGGACGGAGGGAGAGCGGGGCCATCGGAACCCGGTCACCGCAGCAGGTACAGGTTGAAAAACACGTCGTCGCCGCAGCCGTGGAGCCCGGTGCGGGTCCCGGCCTCG